TCCTGGGTGTAGGGCTCTAGCCTGATACGTTAAATTATTCAATTCAATTCATCGTCCAATTTAGCAAACAATGTCTCTCGAAAAGTTTGCTTCGGAAACTAAAGTTCGCAAGCATCTAACTCGCGATCAATGTATTGAAATAAGAACATAAAGAATACTTGGCTTCACAAGAAGGCAAGTGCAACTTGCGTGTGCTCGAGAGACTGAGAATCCTAAGCCTCGCAAAGAACCTTCACCAAAATTGAGTGCGGAATAAGTTGATGAGCTTGAGGCTTTCGTCCGGGAGTCTCCTGAAAATCGACAGATGTATTAAGGAAATAATGACCCCTCAGTCATTGAGGTTGTGGAGCGCATTGATTCCAGTAACTACCGAAGTGAAACTAGGTACAGAATTTGCAGTCACGTGTAGATCAGCAACGTGGCCCACTTCATAGCCCCAATTATTCTAAATTCCAACAAGATGTGCTATTTGGAACTAGCAATGGAACCCCTCAGTCACTGGGATCCAGTGAGCATTAACTTTCGAATGCCCTCAATAAAATGGGTTACAGCAGACGCATTGCTCTGAAGAAGCCTCTGTTAAGTGTGGTTAACATGCAGAAAAGATGTATAGCGGTGATAAAGGAAAATACAGGGTACACAATGTATTAGGTTGGAACAGACTAATAAAAAACATGTAGCACGCTTTCATTTTAGTTGCAAGCTATACTGAGGACTGCGATGCAGACTTTTGTAATACAGAGCGATTATTTTTGAAATAGATGTGTATTTTTAGATAATATCAATTGATTTATTTTTATTTTTAAATAAAGACCATTGTACAATTCCGTTAGAGTTGAAAACCATCCCCATAATTTAGGCCTTCACGGAATATCATTGGATAGTATCCCTTGCTTGCTTAACTATGGGTCGAACTAGACATGGGCCTGCATGAAGACCAACCCAATCTAATCAATATCCACAAGTATCTAACCCCAGTCATTTTTACAATTGTACAATTGGCATCCTTATGGAACTGTACTTGCCAAAGAAAGCAAGAGAAATAAACATAAGAAAACAATAGAGTGTGTCCAAACCAGAGCGCCCTGCGCCGTATCCTACTCTTCCCATTAGTTGACCACTAAAATGACCACTGATACCGCTAGAGGAGCTTATGAATCTTCATCTACGGCCTTTTCTCTGTAGCATCTCGTCACAGTTGCGAATTCGATAAATTTTTCCCAAACTTACCGCATCTGTGTGTGTTGCTTGTTATGCTACTTAGGGCCATGACTATCCGGCAAGATGGGCTCTACTTTGAAACCCGTTTCCACTTTTATCTAACCCGGATAGTTGCTTCCAAAAGGCTCATTATCACCAAGGTGTCAAATTCTATCGAGCCGGTTTTATGAATTATTACAAGGTCTAAGTCTATTGCCCTGCGACTCACATATAATTGTTGAGCGGATTGGTTTGCAAAAGCTTGTGGCTGTTAGGCACAGATTGTATCACTTGGTGAAGCGAGTGGGAAAGTAAAGGAGTCTGTAAATCTGTCGTGGAGAGTTGTTAATTACTCCCACTAGGACACAGAGTGCTATATAAACTATATTTTGTAATAATAAAATCTAGTGGTTGGTATTTACGTCAAAGCGCATTAATACTAACCTCACAATTAATGGGAGATTAGTGATGTGTATTCTACACATCCCTGTCTTTACCATAATTGGAAGCACCAATTTCAACAATAATAACATATCTTGTCGAACAAGAGATAAATTCATGTAGAATCACCTTGATTTCCAGATAACTTCCTATGATTTAAGGCCCATATTCAGCTGTCTTCGGTAAACAACTTTTTTCGTTTAACTATCCATGAAAATTTGGAGCACAGATAACAATTGTCAATTCAGTAAATATTTAAGAAATTTACGACATGTACTACGTATCTTCATTCATTCATTGATCTAGTTTAACGTCCTATGCGGTATCTATATACAGAACCATGAAGACTGTAAGCCGCTTTGGTGTGGGAAAATGCTTTCATCAAACAAAACCCGATGTCCTGCCCCTCTGAACCAATCCGGCTTAATGCTGAGGACGTTCCTTTCAAACTCAAATTTATAAGCTTTCCCCAGAATTCGTTAACTCCCCCTTCGATCAGACTAACGTTATGAAAAATTAAAGAGAGAAGGCACCTCCTCACTCGGCGTTGGTCTTCGAAGTGTTCGAAGAGATGGCCCCGATGGCAGTGCTGCTGTTGAGGCGATGGTTGGTGCCACTGGGTCTTCGACTACCTTACGTGGTCGTCCCGGCCCTCTTTTGAGTCCTTCAGCCTTTTTACTGGTGACCAAAGTAAATCCCTGATCATCAGTTGGTCTGACTGTTTGTGTTGGCGCCATTGTTGGTTTTCATTCCAAATATCTGCCGTTCTCGATAACAGCTCCATCCGAGCCTTCTCCAAACTTCCCTTGTAGACCTGGTAGGTCCGACATGCCGCTTTCTGCCACGAACGGTGCTCCTTGCCGCAGTTTGCATAAGAGCCCCTTTTCCTCGGACATTCCCGAGTTTGGTGAGCGCCAGCGCACGCACCGCACCTGGCTGCCTTTCCATCATGTAGCCATCGTATTCTGCTAATTACCAGGCCTGGAATACGTGCCTTCGTCGCCGTCTCAATCTCCCTGATGATGGCGTAGTTGTTGGCATCTCTGCCACCCTCAATTCTTGTCCGCAGTGGGACTCCGGAAACCTCAACAGGAAAGTCTTGCCGCAAAATTTTCAAGTCCGTTGGTTGTCGCATGTTTAGCGCCGCGTCTCTCTGGGACGCCGACTGGACAAACACCTCGGTGTCGTTGCTTCGCATCTGTCGAATTGCAAATGCGCCTTGAATATGTTGTTGTGCTTTTGAGAGCAGCTCTTGTGGCTGCAAGTTTTGTGCGCCATCGATTCTTATTCTAACCGCCGTTTTCATCATTTGCGGAGCCACGACCGACGCGTAGCTCCTTGGTGTCGGCGCGCCTGAAACCACTGCTGGTGCAGCTTTTCGAGCGGGATCCACGAGGTTCTTTTTGACAACCTCCTCGAGCGCCATCATCCTCTCCTCGATAGGAGACTTCTTCTGGGTCATTTCCGTCCAGGCCCTTTTGTATGCATTGAAGGCCTTCACGGCCTCGTTCACGTCCTCCATTGAGGGTAAGTCCTCTTCATCCACCTCTCCCATCACGATGAGTCTAACCTGTTTCAATAGTTTCCCCAGGATTTCAAGGTTCTTATCCTTTGGAGCTGTTTGCGCTCCGCTTCCGTTGTTTGATTGTGCCCTTGTCGCATTTTGCGACGCGTAGAAACCGCTGGATTTACCCACACTCGCCATGTTGGGGCATGGAGGCAAAAAGATGAGAGGAGGGTAATAAAGATGTAAAAATAATAATCAAGGAGTCAAATTGATGATACGGACGGCGTGGAACGCTGCACAGCTTTCTGGCAAAATTGGTGTTTCTTCTACTACGTATCTTATTTACTTCATTTATATTTCAGCAGGGTTTTATCTACAGAGCTAACCCTTATGTCATCTGATATAAACCTTTTTTCGTGGCCTAGGAGTGATGTCATAAACCGTTAATTTTATTCAGAACCACTTTCACGAAACATAACTCTTATCCTAGGCAGGTAAACCCAGTTTTCTATCCGACCGATAACCACTATCAGGGAAATATAATTTGGAGATGTTTACCACATTGTACTTCTTCACAGTTCATGTCTGAAGACATAGGAATATATTGTTTATGTACCTCGTACTTTGTTGTACATCGGTATCTACACTGGACATAAGGAACTCACTTATTATGTGCATTGGCGACGGGTTATCTAAGAACTCTGGTTAGTATATGATGCTTGACGTCGTTATTTAAAAAGAGTTTGTTCAGACATCCAAGGAAGAATTGGCCCTCATCTGCCCCTAGATAGGTTCTAAGTTGGGACTCGAGTGAAAACTGCGAATGGTGATGTTTTTCATCATTTAAATAGAATTGATAACAGAGGATGGACTTACATTATTAGATGTTGGTGTAGATAAATAAAGGAAGCTTTGGAGCTAGCCGTGTTCGATTACATAGTGTGATCTATGGCAGTTAGTATGAACTTTTCGGAGAGATATAGTATGCGACAGTGTAGTCTCAGACAACGAGTACTGGCAAGTAACAGACGATCCATTTAGGATACGCCCGAATAGCGTGGTCTTCATCATGGTCGATTAAGTTGGGAAAAGAAGTTGCAAAGCATTATCATCATTGACAGGATATAAACTAAATCATTTCTTACCGGAGTTTGTATTAATCGGATAGTTCTCAAGGTTGGTCATTATGATTTCGACCTGAGTTGAAGAGCGTGCGTATTTATACCCGCAGAATCCTTTAGCGCTAGACTAGACTAAAAACGAATAGCGTTTCATATCATGTGATAGTATACTTACAACGTAGCTTTAGCTGATACGACTTAAGACAGGCCTTAGGTTAGTCGTTCAACGATTGCTATCTCAACAAGTTAATCCAAAGATCACTTCGTATCACCCCACTTCATCCATCGATTCTTCTACAATTTTGATCAGGAACTTGAAAATATTTTAAAGATTGAACTAAGAACATTGTAAATTAATACGACATATATTTATGAGCTAGATCTCTCTAATTTTCACGAGATATATAGGCCCGCTGTTCGGGCATTAACATTCGGTTCCACAACCTCTCCGTTAGTTGGCACATAGATGATAGACCTGACTCACGTACAAAACTAGCACAATTTAGTGAAGGTCTGAAAGATATCATTTCGGTCAATAGTACCTACATAGGTACGGGAATCTCCTTGTCGACGCTTTGTTTTTCCCCCATTCTACCGTATCCTCAAGATCTACAAGGTGGCGAAATACCCGAATTACAAGCTTTCACGGGTTAGAATAGCTTCTTACGAAGCTTATCACTTAAGCGCGTGAGTTGAAGCTTGTGGATTGTTGGAAAATAATCTCCAACAAAATGATGACAAGTCTGGCACAGGCCTACTCACCACATCCAGGTGGAATGCAACAACATTCGGCAATGGCTCAAGGGCATCCGATGGGACACAACCCGGGCCATCCGGGACAAGCCGCTCCTGGTATACCACAGCAGATTCACATGGGAGTCTCTGGACCTGGTCCCCAAGTTACTCAGGGTCAAGCAATGATGGCCGGAATGCCGCCAGGTGCTGCTGGACCCAACGCTCATGCACTACAGCATTTAAATACAAACCAACAACAACCACAAACCCAAATGTTTCAACACCAAGCAATGTGTAAGTTTTCTCCAGCTTAACCCTAAACGATATCGAGCAGAAAGAGATACAATACTCGTGCAATAACATTTATTTTTTCTGGGGCTGACTTGCCCAAATTTAGTCGCGAGTAATCCACAGCTCCAGCAAATGCACCAACAGCAGCAGGCTCAAATGATGGCCCAACAGAGACAGCACCAGGCACGACAGGCCATGCTTGCTCAACACTATAGTGGAATCCCCATGAATATGCCTAATGGATTACCTGGTATGACTCAAGCACAATACCAAGCGTTACGAGGTCAAGCTGGTCCAATGCGTCCTGTAAATCTCCCTCAGCATCTTCAGGCTGCACAGCAGCAGGCAGAGCAAAGTCTACAACAACAACAGCAACAGCAGCAGGCTCAAGCCCAAGCACAGCACCAGGTATGAAACCCAGCATACATCGATATTTCAAAAAGCTGTTTAGTGCAACGTAACTAACAGAATCAGCAACAAATGATGATGGTGCAGCAAATGGCAATGCAACAACAAGTGAATGCTCAGAATCAAGCTTCCAACAATCAAGGGCAACCTAATCAAATAAATTCACAACCAAATCAGAACATCCAACAGGCACAAAACGCACTCATGCAACAGCAACAGCAACAACAACAGCAGCAACAGTCGCAACAGCAACAGCAACAGCAACAACAACAACAGCAGCAACAACAACAGCAGCAGCAACAGCAGCAACAACAACAACAACAGCAGCAACAACAACAAACTCACTCTGTGGTAGCATCACAGCAAAATCAAGCACAACAGCATTCTCAGTCTCAGCCATCGCAGCCCCAGCAAAACCCACAACCAACCTCCACGCAAGTGACACCTCAACAACCCACCGCAGCAAGTATGCAGCAACAAATTACACCTTCAGTTATGCAACATCAGCAGCTTAGACAAGGTGAACGAATTAAAGGCCAATGCTTAATGAAGTTAATGGCTTTTGCCGATCATTTGAGTAGTTTCACAACCTGCACTAGGCCACTTGAAGCATATTCAGCAAATCCTGCTCATAGAACGGCTGCAAAAGGAGCAAAACAGCGTGACGATTTGACCTATTGGGTTACATTTGTAGAGCGTTTCTTCTCAGCGAAGGGAGGTTTACGCCATTCTGTATGGGTTATGGATGAAAGGTCAAATAAGCAATACGAAATAACCTATCCAGCTCTACCGAGGTATTTCTATACGCATTTTGAAAGTGGTATTAAAGGGATGCAGATGGTATTCGTTAAAGGGTCGGAGAAAGAGTTACCTAACAATAATTATTACATAGAAAGCCAAAAATCAAGCTTCGTATATTGGTTTGAAAATGGTGCACAGGTAGGATCATAATTCCAGTCGATGCGTTGAAGCTTACCTTCACCAGTTAGTCGCTTCTGGCACCCTCAAAGCTCACTTCGACGCTGAGCAGAAGATAGAGCTCCTCGAATTCATTACGAGCAGTCACGAAGAGTATTTACCTCGGACACAAGTAGTTGAGGCTGCTAGACCGTTACATATTTGGGGAAAAGAATGGCACAAAGTGAATTCTTCCCCAGATGGTAAAATATCTCCTGAAATGAATAAAAAAAAAATGAAGATCATGAAATCTCCGTCTCAACCTCCTCCTGACATCGAGCTTCCTGCATCTAAAGTGAAACCAAGCATGGGAATAACGCACTCAGTATTCCGATACCTTGAGGCAGGTACACCTACTCTATCGAGTAATTCCACTAATATTATTTAGCTTACCGAAGTAATGATTCAGATGAACCCCTTATTCGCTTACTCACATCAGAATACCCATTTATCACCGTCAAATGCCCTCGAGCAATATGTCGCTAATGTGAACGTATCAGGGATCAGTAACCCTGGACATCAAAATCACACTGGGCCTCGAACACCCGCCATGGGAAACTTTGCGATGGGTGCATCACCAGCACAGGCTCAACTTCAGCTTCCCGGTGGGTCACCTCATATTGGTAGTCCTGCTCAGGCACCTGGTATGCAGCTCCAACAAAGTCAACATGGGACAAGTTCCAGTGGACAGAGTGCAAATACAAGTCCTAATGCGAATAATAAACGTAGGAAACCAAGTACAATGAATGCAGACGACGATAACCAGTTAAACGGAACGCTTTCTAAAACTGGAATCAAGCCTAGTCCGAGAATAGGCGGAAAGAGGCAGAAGGGCACTTCGTGTGTTTGAGTTTTCAAATTTTATTTCTCCGTTTCGTAATTACACAAATTCACTTGGAGAGCATATTAGTTGGAACTTTTATTTGTATCATATTCTTTTGGGATGAAAGATAATGAAAGACGAGGTCACTGTGGTGTTTAAGGGAAGGGAGTCTTTTACATACCCATATTCAGTTTGGCTTCTGGACTATGTCAATTGCTCGGCTAGTTGATATCTCTCTGTAACATCTCTAATACCCTTGATTTTTCTTCATTTGCGCTGGAGTTTTAATAGGCCAAACACAGATTGAAAGTCTTGCGTAATCAGCAATTGTTGTTTTGGGTTCGTGGGGACCTGGAATTAAATAGCAGTATTGTAGGTAACAAAAATAGGGTTCATAAGTTTAATACTTATATGTACTTGTTAATCAAACAAAAGATGTGCATTTTACATATGAAATACGAGATTGTAGCCCAAGTAGTTCCAACCAACCTCGTCTTTTCATGTGACAAGATGACTTTAAGCGCTAGGAGGTTGCTTTCAAAATAATATTAAAGTCACTGACTACCGGAAATAAATTCAGTGACTAATAGATTGAGGAGAATGATTATGATATAAGATAAGAGTTAGGGCTAGTTAAATGTGATTAAAGCCCATACATATATATATATATATTATTTTACCTGATTTGGCGCCTCGAGGCCCATGCAGTTTTTTATCGGAAGATATGTGCTTTAAACAGGATGACTCAATTTGACGATTAGAACACTCACACTTAGATTTCATTTTCAGATACTACTCGAGGTTAACCCTTACGGCGTATAACATCTTCCGTGCATACCCACCACAGGGAAAAGCGTGAAAGACCTGTGACTGTCCGAGTGTGCTTTCATCACCCCACAAGTACAATATCACCGCGAGAGAGAGTGGTGTGTAGGTCTGACTAGATTCGAACCAGCTTTCTCCTGTCTCGAATGGGGTAGGTGTTCAAGCTACCCAGTATCTACTTGGGAGAACGGCCCGGATGGTGTACCACTGCACCATCCAACCCAAAGCCCATACATACTCGCTGTTACTAAGAGCTTCATTCATAGCCTTAAATTAGGGCTAATTTTGTGAGAAGATGTCATAGTTTAAATCTACCAAAAAGCTTTATCCAAGACTACAACTTACTAGTCAGCTTTATCATTCCATGGCTCTGCCTATCGCTGGCGCGGAGGAAGCATATTTCAGTCGCCTACCACGCCTGCCGTAATCTATTTTGACATTATGCCTCAATTGCTGCAGCTAAACCTAGTACAGGAGCTCTTGCTTTTGCACCTACGAGTCCCTTGCGATTACGTCCCGTGCGTCCTCGACCTAGCCAATTTAGTTTGAAGCACCTGACTAACTCTCCCATTTTAGCTTCGATTTCCGCAGAATCATTACTCATGTTGTTGCCTCCGTATACTGAATTTAATACACCAACACATTGCAACATGCGACCGACTGTTTCGGTAAGTAGACGCCCACTGTCCTCAACTGTGCGGTCATTATCACGCTCACGCTCTCGGGCACGAAAGCCACTGTAGTTGTTTAAGCCTGGTAATTCGGCACTGAGATGGGTACTAACATTACTCAATGCACGGTTTCGCCCCGTCTGCAGCATGGAATCGAGTAGTGTCGTAGCCTGAGAGCTGTAGCTAGCACTACTTGGCTCTAGTGATATTGCCGTGCTAGGTCGACGGATAGGGAATTCTGCAGAACCTGAAGGATTATTTTGTTCAGAAGTGCTACACGAGATATTCTCTAAACTTAATCTTGAAAAGAGGTTTTTTAATGTCTCAAAGCGGGAAAGAATAATAGTGTCCCGGAAGGAGCGCAAAACTACACTTCGGACGTTATCGAGTCCCTGATCGCTACTATCTTCATGGCTGATAGTTGGGTTATTGGAAAGCTCAAGGTCAAGCGGCAGAAAAACAGCTTGCATGAAGGGAAGGACGACTGTAAATGTAAAAAGCCACACATCTACAAGCTGAGAAATGAGACGTTCTTCAGGCGTACGGCGTAGATTTTGTTCTAGCAACGAAAATCCGCTATGTGAAAGATCCTGTAGCTCATCAATCAAAACCTTTGTTGAGCATCGTTTACGATGCGTTGATTGTATGTGCAGCCTATTAAATTAGCTGGACTATTTTGCTAGTAGGCCTACCCGAGCCAGGTGTGTCACGGAGATTTGTAGGGTCAATACTAACATCAAAATTCGATTAAAATCCTCTACCGGCAACCTTATATCCTCACCTTCAAAGACGGCCAATAACTTTGTCCTTAAGAATGGCCACGCGTCTTCAGCTCCTAATCTATCAAGTCCATTCTTGACTATCTCGGCTGATGCATCATAACCGCAGATTGAGGAGGCGTAATTGATACTGCTGGCTGCAAGAAAAGATGTGGCACCGCCGCCAGATCCTAGGCTTGAAGGCCCGGGCCATTCGCCTTGATTTGCTTGGTGAAAACCTTCAGCTTCTCTTAGCGAGCTCTCAAACTTTTCTTCCTTATCTTTTTTCTTTTCACGGAGAGCCCGACCACCATGACGGAGATCAAGACCAGACATGCTTTTTGCGAAGGATGTAGTGCTAGCAGAAGGGCTGAGGGGCAGATTAAAATTATAAAGGCTGGTTGGAGCGTTAGGGTCAACAGGCTTAGAATTGGACGCAGCAGAACTTAGTGGCAAATTATGGTCATCTTTCGAGGTAAGTTTATGTTTTTGTCTACTAAGAAAATGATGCTTGGGCTTATCTTTTTCTTTTTCCATCTTTTTCTCTTCTACTTCTAGTGGTCGAATTGTGGCCAGGGATGAATTTGCCAGGGAATATATAGATGAAGAAGAAGATTGGTTGTCATTGATAGAGATATTACTAAAGTTTCCTCGCTGTAAAGAAGTGAAGGCCATTTTATTTGGACTCGGTAACGCTCCAACTTTAGTCTCTTTTTCTTTTTCTTTTGAGTTTGTTCCTTTTCCAGGTCTCGAGAAAAGTTTTACCTTGCTCTTTTCACTCTTCGCAGGTTTTTCTTTTTCCCTCTCTCTCTCCGCTAGATATTCACTGGGCAAGTGGCTGGGTGACGAAATAGATGGTTTCGAAAATACTACATTAGCGGCTGTTTGAGCAACATTTCCAGTGGTTTCCCCAAGATTATCTTTAAATATTTGACCCTCAAGCCCACTCTCGCAAGGTCCTGATGCCTCAGTGAGGCTTAGCATTGGTGGGTTAGATGGCCCCCGAATCGATGGTCGACGATTTGCGTTATCAATTTGAGGTGTAGGTGCTGTTTGAGAGCGCTGCCGCATGTGTGTTTGATGTTGCATGGCAGCTTGAGCCGCTATTTGACTCGCGGTAAGCCCAGTATTAGAATTTACCATACTACTTAGATTTCCATTCGCCGCGGTGGGAAGGTAGGCCTCGAAACTTCCTTGTGTAGAAGAGTGTAATCTACCATTTCGAGCGAACTCTCCATTGGAAGATTTGGATGTGGTTCCTACCACAGTGGGTATGTGGCGAGATGCAGGCTCCGGACGAGTAGTGCCGCTGTGAGATGATGGGCGCGAAAAATTATAGTTCTGGAGGCTACTAGAGCTGCTATTTCCTTGAGAGAGTGTATAGAGAGGACGGGGGCCATGCACTTGAACAGAAGCAGCTGGAGTGCTACTTAATGATGTTTTAGGGCTCAGTTGTGGGATCTGATTTTTTTGTCCTGCAGAGTCATCTGGATTCGAGGTCTCAATCTGATAAAAGTTTGATCGTGAATCTAACGGTGGTTGCACTATTGGAGAGAAACTTCCGGGCAATCGCGAGGCCTTATTTGGTGTCATTATTAGATGGGATGCATAGTTTTATATGTAACCACAATTCAGTTTGCTAGATATTACTGCTAGTTCCAAAAGTGATTAAACTGTCGAGAGGAGCCGTCGGTTTTAGAGGCTGAGCTTTATTGATATGAATAGCTTACTCGTGCCTATGGCTGCAGCAAAGGGGTATATCTTGTTGGGGAGTCATCCTTACATAAACCCACTTTTCTTATTTTAGGCTACTTTATGTGAATCGTCCGTAGGGTCACAATCTTTAATTTTATATCCACCGTTTACAATACATACCTACAATTAGTATTTTGATCCCCACGAACATGTCTAATCAACATACTGCAGTAGATCATCAAAATCAAAATTTACAATATGCACTCCAAGCTACTTATTCCTCTCCGGACAACACATCTTTCACACATTCACAAGTCCTGCACATTTCTAGAAAGCAGACAACTGAAATAAGCGTAGAATTTCTTCGCACACTAAAAAAAGCAGTTGGTGCCATGCAAGACCAAATCAACGAGCAGCTTTCGTCACTAATGGATGAGGATAGATCTCGTGGAAACAACACGAGTGCCCAAGATGAGGACGTTACACTGGAAGAAACACCATTTGGAGAAAAAGACAAAAATAAAAGGATAGAAAAACCTAACTGAATCCAAAACTGAACCTGAACCAGAATTGTACTAGTCATATTTGTTCCACCGTATTTAAGACAGCTTCGAATTTCATTCACAAAAGCTAAGATTATTTCTCGATTAAAATGCCAAGAAACTTCCAAAATTCAGATTTAGCTTAGGCAAATTATATTGAATAAATAACCAAAATTCAATCTATACGCAAAATAGATTGATAAAAATTTTGTAACCTCTGAATCGATCTATTACTTAGCCACCCTGTTTGAAGCTCTGATCCGACACCAATGCTCCTGCTATTATATCATCTTCTATATCTTTTATCCAAGGGTGTTAATTCCGTATAAGCTTACTATGTACTTGAAATACAAAACATGATGGCGAAATTTAGAAAAAAGAAAGATCTGACCACGACCCAAAATTTTTAGAATTAATTGATATTTTAGCCAAGAATAAGGTGATAAATCGCTTTACTAACATTGGACTCGTCCATATTAAAGGTCTTACTATGGTGAATTCTTTTACTATGCTCCAAGTTGAGTCTTATTAGGACATCAGTAATTTCCTAATCTCTCTGGTGGAATCTTAAAAACCATTGGCGTCCATGATAAACCCAGTGCTGCAGCAGAAAGTAGTACCATGCTTCCAATATTTCTAAAGAACACTCTGCTTTAGGTTTTAGTACCCCAAAAATTAGACAAGCTACCCGCTCCACATATTGCCCGGTACTCAAGGGGACCTATTACAGAGATAAAGCCGAGGATGAGTCAAACCTTTAGCATGCGAACATTCGACAACAGACATCAAAACTCAAACAAAGATACTCTGATAAGATTGTGCCGTCGTTGAATTTGATGCGTAGATTTCTCGCAGTTCAATGTAAACGCTGTTAGGGATTCTATGTCACGCAAATCTTCACAAAAAGCTAACGTTGTAGATGTTTCGCAGTTTTAAATAACCTAGATTATCTTCTTGTATAGATCCCTAAAACTACTAGTATTTCAATCATCTGAACTTAAGCGGACGCGAAGAGGGAATTGTTGTACCTTGTACACCAGCAAGGTTACCTGTTATATGATAGGAGGACGAAGACTGAACACCTATATCCGGTGTCCTCTACGAACCTGGGAGTGAATTATTTTCCGAGGACCAAGCTCAGTCCGATTTCGCAATACCGAACAAGCTGGCTGAGGTAGTAATAATTTCTGGTTCTCTGCAAAATTAGTTTTTACCCCACGACGATGAGGTTCCTGATGGATTAGTATGTGTGAAAAGTGAGATAAGCTTAGCTTTAAGATGGCGTAGGTTACGGTTGTCTCGTGGCTCCAATCTACCAATATGTATAGTAGAGCTTAAGACTAGATGTAACTTGGTTTTCTATTAATACAGGGTATCGTTTATATAAGTACAGTATTCCTACTCTTGCGCCCGGACTCCAACATGAACAACATTACATAAGCATTACAATTTATTAGAGCCTCGTACTAATCTAGAGGTCTGTCAATGTTGGATCCTCAACGAGATCGTTCCCCACCGAAACATAGTCAAGTCTCCAAGAACGATCAAGTATGTTACCTCATTTCAATGATCACACATCTCACTGACTATTCTCTGCCCTAATCTGGCAACTAGATAAATGCCCACAACAAGATGAGTTAGAAAGGAAGATATTGTTGGAATAAAATAACAATTGTCATACTAATAAAGACTTAACAAAAATACAATACACATATCCAGTCATATATACACCATTCATAGTCCATGAGTGATCCAGCTCTGTAGAGCCAATACTAATATCTTCTACTCGTGTCCTTTACTCGTGTCCTGAACGGAGCGAGTGATCTGTCTTCCCGCCTCCTGTTTAATATCCGAAGGCTACCATCACGTGACCTTGATCGTCCATAACACAACATGTCATGAAGACTTCCTGCCCAACTGGTGACCACTAACAGTCAGGTAAATATGTGACCCATATATTATTTACTCCGTAATAATAATGTATATATTAAGTCTCAACAGATATGATTAGAAAACTGTACTGCTGGTAAATTCCTAAAGCTTATTTTGGTATGCTTGTTATTGTTGTGGTTATGAGCTATGCGGAAGTCACATTGCGGAGTGATAAGGAGTGGATGATGTTATAATTAGTTGTTGACAGTGAATAAACTCATACAATATTACGCTGTAGGTGTAGGACAGAAAGTATAAGACTAAACCTGTATCCAGTTAGTGTGGGTACATCTATGAAACTATATACCGTGGTGCCACGATTTCAAGTTTTCAGTGGATTTATATGGGGCGCATATTCGCTTCAGGGGTTGCGCCCCTGTTAGCGCCAATTTCGACAGGGTACAAAATTCTTGTCCTGTATTTCCAGGCCTAAAAGGGGGCACAATTTGATTTCATGTCACCCTCAGTTTTATGCAAATCCAACCCGCTCTCTAGCTCTTTCCCATTGCTTTAATGAGCGCCGACCGCTAAAAAAAATTACACAGCTATTCTCACCTTGTGCTTGAGTTACAATAAGAATTAGATTTCTCAAATACAAAGTTATTTATTCAGAAGATACATGGCTTTACCCGATAATAACCTTATTTTACAGATGAATCCACCTCAAACCCCACCTTCAACCCCTCGAATCAAACAATTATTCAGGGATCAAAACATTTTAGTAAGTAGAAAAATTAGATATAATCACGAGAAGAGGAATTGGCAGGAAGGCAGCTCTAATGTAGAGATGAAAGAAGTAGATTGGCTATGAGGAGAGAGTATCTAGAGGCGGACAGGGACTATATGCTAACGTGCATGTACCACATGTACTCACGCTATTGTACCTAGGACCAGGTTGAGGCGAGGCCGTAACTGATATGAACAAATATAAATTAAAAGAAAAATTAAGATTTAAGGGCTTCATGAATCTGGCAAAAACCAGACGCAGATTGCCGCGCAACTAGGCATTTCTCGGGGACAAGTTAGCTATTCACTGCGCCGCGGAACTGTCTCCCCCAAAAAGAGAAAAAGAACATCCTCAATGCTGAAAGCAGATGATGTTGATCAGATTATATCTTACGTTGAGTCTTCACCTGGAAACCGCCGCAAAACATTTCTGGAACTCGCCTCTTGACCCTGTAGACATCTTGGTGTTAGCGAGCAGGTAATACAAAGAGAACTTAAAAAAAAGGATACCAGCGACATGTGGCTCATCTAAAGCCTCCAGTATCTCAGAAAACTATGAAGACACGTAGAGAATTGGCCGAAGCTCATCTCAATTGGACATATGAAGACTGGACGTCAGTTTTATGGACAGACGAAACTTGGGTAGAGGATTGAAGACATTCTAGAGAATTGGTGACAAGAAGTGTTCGTACATTCCTCAATAAGAAGATGGTAATTTGATGCTCTAACATTATGAGCTAGACTTTCCAAGAATACAACGCTGATTGTGTTGGAGAAAAATCGAAGAATAGGGTCCGATGGATGTTCTGGGGTTGCTTCGCAGGGCCAGAAAAAGGCCCTTGTTTGTTTTGGGATAAGGAATGTGGTTCCATTAACTCCCAAAAATATTGCGAGAAGATAGTTCCTCTTATCGATGGCATGGTCTCGATGAGATCTTGGCTTTCCGTAATGCAGGATATTGCTCCTGCCCACATAGCCGCAATTACAATGGGAGATGTGAGCCAGAGGCTCATTCAACCGATTTTATGGCCGGCCAACTCGCCTGATCTTAAACCGATTGAAGCTGTTTGGAATAAGATGAAGGATTACAATCAGCGTCATCATCCGAATCTGGGTTGCGGAAAGCAGCGAACTCAAGGTAGTCTTCGCAACATTGTAAAGGAGGCATGGGATTCTGTGTCTTCCGAAGATCTTGTGAGACTCATTCAGAGTATGCCAGCAAGATGTCAGGCTGTGGTAGATGCGGATGGGGGACCGACCAGATATTAAAGCCTGAAAATATTCCAGCCACATGTTCAGATCTAAGGTTAGGATAAGACTGGCTCTATTTTGTAATTTGAAAACCTTTGAACTCTTGTAAATAAGTTATAAAGTCAAGTAGCAGAGTGCAGCTGACACTACAAAAACAAGCAAACGATGGAAGATGTTGTGGTCCGCCTCCTGGTGGTGTTCTCTGGTATAGTTTGAGTAGCCTGGGCTCCCACTCCACTTGGGGAGGAGACATCTCAGATTACATTTCGCGCGGAGAAAAGTTGATGGATGATGGAGCCATGTCTGGATAACTCAGAGTTTTTGAGACGTTCCCCTGAATGGGTATTCACGGATGAGGGTTGACTTGGGGTGAAGAAAAAGCCACCATAACTTCGCAGTGGTACTTGCAAATGAAATCCAAGGCATGACTACTCTTCTTGTAAATTAATTCATCTTCTCTTTATTTTTCTTTGATATTGTGTCATAGCTAGATAGCTGCATACGCAATTGAAATCTGATGTAAAAATAACACCTCCTAATAAACTCTTTGTAACCACGCCAAATAGCTGTGAATGTATCCATTAGGTAGGCTGAAGCACTACCATATTACACATTACAACCAATTCATATCATACAAGATTGTGTCGGGAACAAAATTGAAATAGAGTTCTTGTGAGTCTAAAATCCTCTGCGTCCTGTTTTCAACAGTATTTGTCGGTAATAGAATCATATTTGGGCAATCTGAATTGTTCTATAAGCAGGCAAAGACGAATCCTTCACTTTCCAGTGGTGCCGGTGTAATCGCTCAGTATGCTCTGCATATCTGGGATAGCCAAGAAGAATCGCATCCGAATCGAAGTCGAAAGCAAACACATGCATATCTCCATTTGAAGACTTCTCGACAATGCCTCTCTCATCATTATCATCTGAGTCCTCAAACTCTCTCTAAACAAGCATCATCTCGCCTCGACGACCAATAAAGAAGTTGCTCCAATTGCATACAGGAGCTTGCCCCATTAATCTCCAGCTATCTCTCACTACATATTTACGACGCTACTTGTACCCGCAAGGAGGAAATCAAGTCGACAAATACTAAGTTGGGGTCTTGGTTTATGAGGGACTACTGCTCTAATGGGGTTATACATCTTGAGAAGGACAGGCTGCTGAGATGTGGAGCGAGAGGGGAAAGAGGTCTCTGAAGACCGTGTTGGGACTGACATCTTCGAGGAGTTTTCAACTTTGGATTTTTTGTAGGCGCCAAGACTAAGATTTCGGCTAATTAGCCAGGAGGGCTTCTATTGTCGATGAGTCAACGGCACTCCCCAGCGCTCTGGACGGCACAACAGAAGTTAGACTGAGCTACTATACAGCAATCACGCTCTGTCAAGACTTTTCTGAAAATTCAGCACCACCTTCGGGAAGGAGTTGGAAGGAGGCTAGAAAGGCAGAGGTTGAATTCTCCGAGGTACCCACAAGTCTGCAGCGCTCAGGTGGCCGGCCTCTTCGAACGCTTCAGAAGGATCACTATGTCTTCGAATTTTGTCCTAATGTCGAAATTAGAAGAGCTCCACACCCAGTGGTTTTTGCGATTTTTCCCGGCTGCTATATACCCGCAAATGGCCATCATTTCGTTGGTTGGAGAGGGGAGGTAATGAAGGGCTAAGAACTCCACTAAGTGAATGATCGAATGATGACTTGTGAGGGGCGTTACTGTTTGAAGGGAGTTGTATGGGAAGTATAGGAGGGGATAACTTCTAGTACAGGTATCCTTGGCCTGTAGGCAGAGAGGACCTGCATGTCCTACATAGTCATAGACTCAGACAGGACAATAAAATGAGTTAAGAAAAAAAGTTGATAAGCCGATACAGAGTCAATCCAGGGATTCCAACGACTAGTTCCACACACATGAATCTTGAGGGTAACAAATCACGATACGAGAGGTTTGTCATGGATCTTGGTTTTCATGCAAACCCCTTGGGTTGTAGACAATGAAGGACAGGAGGTTTCGTGTTGGCAACTTAATTTGAACAGTTGAACTCCTATGTACATATATACAGATTTATATCCTCCTAGATGCTTTTCTCTTTGGTTTTGAATCCTATGATTTGAGTCCACGCTAGCTTTTGACCACTTGCCATTTGTTTTTGTCCCTCGAGTTTCAACAAACACTGTCATGAATTCCATGAGGATTCCCATTTGCTTTCGCGGTCTGTATCGTCTTCATCTCCCAACAAATTCCCCTATCACCATTATCATGAAGCTAACCACGATCAGATCAGATGGTAGGGTCGGAGCCCTGCTCATCACCTACCCTTAATGATGGAAGAAAGGCCATCCGATGAGTTTCCGGAGCGTACCAAGCACCCGTTATGGAGATGGCCGATTGGATCAAGTCGGCCTCGACTGTTACAAAGAAGGGAGATATAGATGAATATGCGCACCTCATGTGGTCCCGGTGTCTAGGCCTCGCCTGGCTGGGGCTGCATGTTTTTTGAGACTTTCTTCCGCGCACGCAGTTTCCATTGCTACCATTTATATTTTATTTGGGTAGAAGGTTGCGTGGAAAAGGTGGCCGAATTCCACGGGTAAATACTGAGCTGAATGGCTATTTATCAAGGGGAATATATCAATGATCTTTGAAGTAACAAAAGAGGATAGGAGCACTGTACAAGGTGTGGCCTGGGTCAGAGAGGAGCCCATGTGCTAGATAGTCATAGACTCAAGTAATACAATAAAACACACACACACACACACCACTGACAGGTGTTCAGTCCTTGCACTCTAAGAATAAGCCTAATTTCTCATTAAGTAATAGCTGTAATTATTTCATGTCATTCGAATGTCATAGACTCGCTAAGAGAATGAACAAAAAGGAATCGGAATGTTAGGAATTGTCCGTTGAAGTCCAGATAGGCAGGCAGGATGTGCATTGCTATCTTGAGGGGTCTCGCCATAATGTCTGTTTTAAGACGTTCAATAAGCATGTTGAATTACCTTTTTCGAGTTGCGGGCCCGCATGATTCTAATCAGTTAATTAAGCAATTAAAATAATCATAACTAAGCTACCTATGCATATGTTTGGGGAATCAAGCCTAACAAATCCGAAAGCCATGAATTCTGGTGTCGAAAATAACGGAGCGCGTGATCATTAACTCAAGATTTTCCACCTTTCTGATCTATGATTCTATACCGCACATAACAAACTATCCTTAACCAGAAACATGGAGACAACCACGGTCCAATGCAATCGTAGCACTCAAACTAATAGTGCTGATGTCGCTGACCTGGTGCCTCACAAGGAGCCTAGAAAACGTTTTGTGGGGAGGAAGCACACCGATAACGGGTCAAAAAATATCTCATCAAACTTTGATGTGGAGAGTAATAGTAGTTTGAGTTAGTGATGAGGACATTACAGCCTTAATTCTTAATGCTAACCATATTCGTAGCTTTGCGACAAAAGAGACTTCCTCGTACGCTTAATCAAGTTCCTTCTGAGATTCTTAATGATGAGGACATTAATGCAGCCATTGCTCTCCTCCCTCCAAACTACTCTTTTGAAATACACAAAACTATTCATCGAATACGATCAAATGGATCCAAGAAAGTTGCCCTTCAGATGCCTGAAGGCCTGTTAATTTTCGCAACTACAATATCTGATATCCTCGTCCAGTTTTGTCCAGGGATTGATACCTTGATTATGGGAGATGTAACCTACGGTGCATGCTGTATAGACGACTTTACTGCAAGAGCTCTTGGCTGTGATTTATTAGTGCATTATGCCCATTCTTGCCTGATACCAGTAGATGTCACGGAAATTAAGACCTTATACGTATTTGTAGATATTAGTATCGATACTAGTCACCTACTCACTACACTCGAAAAAAATTTTACTACTGGCAAAACAATAGCCATTGTTGGTACCATTCAATTCAACAGTACTATACATGGGCTCCGCCCAAATCTTGAGAAATCAGGTTACAAAATCATTATACCGCAAATATCACCACTAAGCAAAGGCGAAATTCTCGGTTGTACCTCACCACGACTTAACCCGGACGAAAATGTAGATTTAATACTGTACCTTGGAGATGGCAGATTTCATCTCGAAAGTGCCATGATCCACAACCCATTGTTGCCGGCATATAGATATGACCCATACTCCAGGAAGCTCACCCGTGAGTTCTATGACCACAATGAAATGCTCACAACGCGACAAGAAGCGATAGATGTAGCAAGAAGGGCAAAGAAATGGGGCTTGATTCTCGGTTCTTTAGGTCGGCAAGGAAACGAAAACACTATGTCTCTGATTGAAGATCGCCTTGAGGAGCTAAATATTCCATATATTTATGTGCTCCTGAGTGAGATTTTCCCCGGAAAACTTGCCATGATGGATGACGTGGATTGTTGGTTGCAGGTAGCATGCCCGCGGTTGAGCATTGACTGGGGGCATGCATTTTCGAGGCCTCTTTTAACTCCGTATGAAGCATTAATTGCATTGGGCCAAAAAAGTGATTGGAATAATGGTAATGAGGGGATCTATCCCATGGATTATTACGGAAAAGAGGGTTTAGGAAGAACCAAAAAAAAGGTTATCAAGTAAAGCAATAGAATCAAACATTTTCAATTCTGAAAATATGAAAAAGTCGTAGATCCTTGTATGACACAATTTTTATGTATTTTCGTGCCTCTATTCTCACTCAACCGGGAGGCTAGATTGGTTTACTCAAGGTAAGTAGTTCATTTTCGACTATACCTGGCTTTTACTAAATCACTGATCTTCCAGAATGACACACTAGCTATTGAAACAAAATTTAATCTACTAAAAATATAGGTCTATCATACGACGAGATCGTCAGCAAGAAAATTATGATGATAGATAAAGCATGAAAATGTAGGAAAATGTTGCTCAATCTTCCAACATACGCGCATTTAAAATTTAATACATTTCTCGCCCCTCAGGAGTATTCAAAGAAAATGCTTAGAGCATCTTGCAGGTGCCTACAATTTTACTAGCAGCAGAGTGCTAGAGCACGAATCGTCCGTCCTCCCTATAGAGATATACCTGAAACAAAGGAGGGTCCAGCACGCCGGACTATCAGATAAACTCCCAGTGCAACAGACAATCCGATCGACATGTAAGAGGATAAAGCTGCCCGCAAACGGGAGAGTGGCTCCGCATGTATTGACCAAGAGTAAAGATATCGCCGAATGGACAACAACTTTCGGAAGGAAAAAGGACAAGAGAAGGCAGAAAGAAGCTGGAAAGATAGCGGTCTTTCAGGAGTGGAAAGATTCATGGACAAGCTAGATCAGGCAACACCGCCCTGGCCGACCAGCATTAGCCGATCCAGAACATTGGAAAGCGGCAAATATATTTACTGATAAACAAACAGGCAGCATCAAAATGAACTTCAAAGATACACCCTTAAAAATCCACCGTAATCTAACCAGGGCCCAAAGCAGTGTCGCCATTCAGCTAAGGAGCGAGCATATCGGACTCAATTCTTACCTGAGCAGAAGAAAAGTACCCGGAGTGGAAAAGCCAAGCTGTCAATGTGGATATCCGTCGCAAAACGTCAAGCATATGGTGTTGGCGTGTCCGCAGTGGGCAAATGGAAGAGGCGACTTTCTCCGACAAGCTAAAGACAGGTCATTTGAAGCAATGATGAACAGCCCAGAAGACATGGCCAGAATTACACAGTGGATACTAAACAAAGGGTGGATAAAACAGTTTCGACTTGCAGGAGAAGTTGAGGTAGCAATGTCGGATAAAGTAAATAGATCTGGAAGGGGAGAGGACGGAATCCACACGGGCTGAACAGTGTACACTGCACTTCCTGAAGGTAAACCAAATAAATTGATAGGAACATAAAAAGACAGGATTAGGAGGTTTTCACCAAATTGGTTTCCTCCTTTGTAAATAATGCAGATAGTCACCTGCATGGACCCATAGGGTACCTGATCGGGTTAATTGAAATCAAAAACAAATTCAATACATTTCTCGTGCCAGCTCGACCCAAGTGTCAGTCATAGATTTGAGTTCTTGAATTTGATTTTACATAACCTGATTTGACACCCTTCGAGATTACGTAGGTGACTACACTATTTTTGATTTACAAGAGAAAGTATTATGTTTGAACCCCCCTATATTTAAGATTCTATTGAGTTTTGTCATTGCATCATCATAAGCAGGCTTGTTCTCGCTGTTAAATACAATCAGGGTTCTATGTCATAGTTCTTGTCCTGGTCTCTTTATGCCAGCTTGCTTAACCTATAATCTTAATTCTTTTTTTTCTTTAGTCAATCAGAACTTCTCTAGTAGTGAATCCAGAATCTATTGTATAATCTTTCAACATCTTTAGAGCAATACGTTAAGGACTTGAATGAGTGAAATTTTGCTTTCCTACAGGTTCTTGTTTTCCCCTGCACCAATTTGGGCAAGCATTCAAGATACATCGAACGTTTCGGAATAGATATCCATATGAAGGATTTTGGGCTTTCTACTCCAGGGGCTTTTCTTCGGTGCAGATAGATATCTAGCCTATTGTGCTCGCTACTTATCTACACAGCAGCCTTAGTCTGGCCCCCTTTGGATCTCGGAAGACGTTCAACTAAGGCCTATTATCTAACTGGTTTTCATGTATACGTAAAGACCAACTATTTTGCAGTCCGGGATCAACGTTAACTATTTATATGAATTTCGTAGTGCGACTAGAATCTTTCCATGAGTCCGCCCATTCTTGGGAAGCCGCAATATTTCTAGCCTTTTTCAGATTTTGGATGAGTCCTCTACTGCTCTCAGTCATAACATGTCTTATAGAGACATAATTGATTGATTTTACTTATCGTATCAATCATGACTATGTCTCAGTAATGGGAGAAATTTTATTGACTGATCACTAGAAACCTAGTCAAGATCCTAAACACACGACTGAGACTTGGAAAATTCTACTGAGTAAGTAAATATTTTAATGAATTTAGATCTGGAGGAACACAGTCTACTTGCTTGGCTCTCGAGATATATGAAGCTGTCAAGCAAAGTTGTTGTCACGATGGATTACCTGTATCACGGGTTCAGGTACCAAGGAGCTCAGATTATAACTGTGTTGTGCGATACTGTCGGTAAGACACGAAGTAATAAAAATTGATTGCTGTCACGAAGTAAATGAATAAAGTAAATTAACTGGTATCTCTGAATACATATATGGCTGTCTCTTCTCCCGCTCTGTCCCCTTTCCTTCTTTACCCCAAACGCCTCGCTGATGGAGGCAAATCAGGTCTCTGTCAGAGTCCCAACTATATCCTGAACACCACAAGTATGTAAAACAATCTATGACGCCAACTATGATCCATTCACCGATAGTGATTGTTGTAGAGGTGTAGGAATTATCGTCTATCGACTTGTGCCTTAGCACCGTATTTCTTTGAAACTAGAGCTGAGAGCTTTGCTGCAACTCTTGTTGATGGGATTGCGCCTTACTACAACCCCCTTTGGCCAACCATAACCCAAATTGCCTTTGATAGCTGAGCTGGTGCAGCTGGGGGTGTACTACTATTTTGGGGAACTCTTGAAAGAGAATTTGTCGGGCAAGAGGCAGGAAGGGTGGCGTAGTATTGCGCAATGGTGGCGCGTATTTAGACCTTTATTGGGTCTACGAGTTGTCTGTTAAACCGTTTATCAAATGGACGGATGCAACTGTTGAAATTGGTGCTTCCAATTGTGGCAAAGGCAGGGATGTGTAGAATATACGTCACTTATGTCCCATTTTTTATTTAATTTCATTATCCTGATTTGGCGCCCTATGGGCTCATGAAGGTAGCTATAAACCTGACTATATATTTACATGGATGGAAACCTGTCGTTGAAAACCTCCATTTGTTTATATATATTTAATGTTGTATTTGCTCCTATAAACGAAAGAAGGGGTACTGGCCGAGTTGATAAGGCGCTGTGTTTAGGTACAACATCTACTCCGCAGTGGGAAACCGCGCAACCTCGGATCCTGCGGACCTCACGATTTAGTTTTTGCGGAAGTGCCTCATGGTCAGAAATTGAAATGTATAATGGGATAGGAAGAACCTAACATATATTAAGACGTGACACGGGTAGATATGCTATGAGAGCTCATGGTTACCAACATGGCCGGCAATGAAGCCAAGATCGACAAAAGAAAACAAGGAAATAAAAAAGGTCAGCATATGTCTGAGTTACGGTGCCCTGCGCCGCATCCCTATCTTCCACACCCATCTCCTTTCGGGTCAGAAATAATCTCAGCGTGGTCACCTTCCACCCTGTTCATTCTTCGGCAGACTGTAACATCTGCTTGTAGTTAAGAATTGGATGAACTTCTGCCATCCCTTCTCCACTATAATTTCCCTGGCCCCAATTGGGGCTATTTTCTCACAGCTTCTCCAACGTAGTAAAGCAGGTCAGCATTCTGGAAAACGCCTGAGTCTTTTCTCTCGGCCGCAAACGCGTTTTAGATCATCATGTTCGGGGTTGAAACGTCGATGGTAGTCGGCGTAGTCCCCGTGGCTTGTTCTTGCCGCATCAAGACGATAGTACGCCCATCTAGGTAGTGCCAGTTCCGGTAATCTTTTGCAACGCATGAATAGGTCCAGATCTTTGTATCGTTTCGGTCGATACTTTTGCCACAACTCTGCCTCGAGCTCTTGGCTGCGTAGATTAAGCCACCTTCATAATGCCGCAAAGGTTAGATCTTGATCTTCTTCACTGTGCGCAGCTGAGGTTAATGACCGGTTATTGGGAGCTCCCAAGGCTGATTTGGCCAGCTTATCGGCCTCTTCATTGCCTTGAATCCCCACATGCCCGGGTATCCAGCGTATTTCCACACGCTTATTGTGTCTCAGCGATGAAAACTTGTCCACCACTGACTGCGAGGAGTTAGATCTTCCTCTTTCGAGCGCCTGGGTGGCCGCTTGAATGTCCAGAAGAATGCAAATCGGTAAGTCTTCTCCTACCTCTGTTGCAGCCTTGAAGGCTTTCATGGCACCTACAACTTCTGCGTCGAACACCTCTGCTCCGGGAAGTGCACCGGAGCCACTTGCAACTAGCTTGCCCCCTTGGTATACTGCATACCCCCAGGCTGATTTTCCGGGACCCGATGATGATCCATCAGAGAAAGCGCAGACCGTGTTAGCTAGATGGGAAGCTGACCATCGCTTTATGCTTCCAGACCTAGCTTCATTTTCTCGACTACATGGAGTCGGTGCTGGGTGCCACGTTGGAATTATAGCTTTCCAGGGCCTTCGGATGTCGGAACTTGATGCACACTCATTTGCAGGCGTGACAAGTACCGTTCTAGTTGTCTGAACAAGCGATTTCTTTGTCCTGGTCTAAGACCTAGGCGTGTTATTGTCTCTTTCGGGTCCTCAGCCGCCCGAAGAGCTAGAGGGTGCCAGATATCCATTCTTCGCATACGAGCTGCGGACCGCAGCATCTTTTGCTGAAGAATTATCGATGCCGGGGGTATTCCCGCTTCAAGATGAAGAGCGCCATTGGGAGTGCTACTCGGAAAGCTTTCGTTATCGTTTATCTAGTAGAGATAGATGCCAGCCTACTCCAGTGCGGACTTCTTT